TGGTAGAAATTTCTACCAATGTAGATTAACTTTAATCGCGGTTAATGTCGGTTTTATTTATTTTTTATCTTTTTCTAATTCTTTGGTAGAAATGGACATTTGTGAATGTAGCACGGACACGCACCACATTTTATCGACAATGTCGGATGGTAGAAATTTCTACCAATGTAGATTAACTTTAATCACGGTTTTATTTATTTTTTATCTTTTTCTAATTCTTAATTGGTAGAAATGGACATTTGTAATGTAGCACGGACACGCACCACATTTTATCGACAATGTCGATAAGATAAAATAAGCCCACACCTGCATGATGTGACACAAAGGGTATAGTTGTATATTTAAAGCATATAAGTTATTTAGAAATTGGAAATAATTAGCGATTTTGTTCCGGAGTGTATCAAATTATGGGAAAATTTTCAGAAAACCCATGTAAATAATAAAATAAAGTTTTTCGGTGCGCCGCGTAGCGTTTATATACCCCAGTCGAAAGCCAGCGTCAGCCAATAGAAGTGCTGGGAACGCGGACGCGACTGCATTGCCTTCATTAGCGCCGCCGCCGCGCGGCATTTCACATCGAGCTTGAGGGAGTGTTATACGTCGCGCCACGTCTTGACTTGATCGGTCATGCAAAAGGATGAAAAGACGATGTAGCTCGCAGTAGCTGTAATAATTTCGGATCGCAGCAATCTTAATTCATATGAATAGGACAAATCCTTCCAGGAGTAAATTTCTTGGTATGCTCTAAGAATTTGTTTCTCGTTAATAGCTCAATTAAAAGACAGCGAAGCGGCGCGATTCATCCCGCGTACGTGGGGTTAGCTTACGCGAAACAAGCGCGGCGCAACGCGTCGGCGATGTTGGCTGCACATCTTGATTTTTGGCCGAACGAGATTACGAATACGCATCCGACCGAATCAAAGTACCGAATCTATATTACGCGAGAGATGCAAGATTGATATATTCACAATTAAAAGAGTCGCGTCGTCACTCAAGTACGTGCTTTGTTTCGGACGCGGTCAACTCCAGCCGAAAACGACGCGGCGCGCGGTGTAGCGGCGTCTCTATAATGCGTCCTACTCTTAACTTCGCGTCTATACATTTTTCGCATTTCGAGCAATAAATACTACACGGAAAGAATGATTTTGTTGAAAGGTCTAAAAGTTTTGCTGAAAACAGATCTGAAAATAATTTTTTGTCGAATCATCAAAATAATTTATTGGAATATCAAAACTGCAGATAAGCATTGCTATAAAACATTTTAATATTCTAGCAATCATTTTGATTTTTGCACAAAAATTATTTTGATTATTGGAAAAAATTATTTTCAGATCTGGATTCAGCAAAATTGTTCTTTCCGTGTATATATTCTACGTTAACACGGAAAGAACGATTTTGTTGAAAGACTTAAAAATTTTACTAAAAACTGATCTGAAAATAATTTTTTATTGAATTATCAAAATAATTTGTTGGAATGTTAAAACTGATAAGTATTGCTATAAAATGTTTTGATATTCTAGCAATCATTTTGACGTTTGTACAAAATAATTTTGACTACTGAACAAAAATTATTTTCAGATCTGGATTCAGCAAAATTGTTCTTTCCGTGAACGTATATGCATAAACAGGAAATTAATTAGAGTTAAGAATGCGGAGCGACACCGCCGCGCCGCGTCGCTTTCGGTGCGTATGAAGTTGACCGCGTCCGAAACGAAGCACTTCGAAGCTTCGAGTGACGCCGCGACTCTTTTAATTGATAAGCGATAATTGTATCAATCTTGCATCCAACTCGCGCAATATAGATTCGGTACTCGCACTTTGATTCGGTCGGATGCGTATTACGCAATCTCGTTCGGCCGAAAATCAAGACGTGTACAGCGTCGCCCGCGCGACGCTTGTTTCGCGTAAGTTTACCGCACGCGTGACGAATTGCGCCGCTTCGCTATCTTAATTTCACGTTTATCCGTACGTCGTATGGCGTATGGATAATCGCGTAATTAACAATAAGATAGCGAAGCGGAGCGATTCGTCTCGCGTGCGGTCAGCTTACGCGAAACAAGCGCCGCGCGACGCGACAACGCTACATGCAGTGCACGCTTGATTTTCGGTTGAACGATCTTATTGTGAAATACGCATCCGACCGAATCAGCGAGTGCTGAACCTATATTACGCGTTGGAAACGAAGCACTTGAGTGACTCTTTCAATTGATAAGCGATAATTGTATCAATCTTGCATCTAACTCGCGTAATAGATTCGGCACTCGCACTCTGATTCGGTTTGATGCGTATTTCGTAATACTGGTTCGACCAAAAATCAAGACGTGTAGTGTCGCCTCGCCGATATCGCCGCGGCGCTATTGGCACGAGAGACGAAGCCATTTCAATGCGTTTTCTTTTCCTTTTCAGAACATGACGGATAGATACGGAAAAGATCAGTTCCGGAATAAGAGGCATCGCGCGCGGCTGACACAATTGGTAGGTAAAAGCTAATTGTATTTGTGCTTGCACGGAAAGCATGATTTTGTTGAAAGGTCCAAACATTTTGCTAAATACCTAGATCTGAAAATAATTTTTTATTGAATCATCAAAATAATTTGTTGGAATATTAAAACTGATAAGCATTGATATAAAACGTTTTGATATTCTAGCAATCATTTTGACTTTCGTACAAAATTATTTTGATTATTGAACAAAAATTATTTTCAGATCTGGATTCAGTAAAATTGTTCTTTCCGTGTGATTATCATGCAGTGTAATATCATCGACACGTATGCATTGATATTCATTCGAATGCATATTTTGCAATATTTATTTGGCCGTAAAGCGTTGCTGCGCCGACGCCGCTGCTGTACGTTGGCGCGAGAAATGAAGCCGCTCCATCATTTTAATAACGTTCTTTTTTTCCTTTTAAGAACTCGGCGGACACGGGAAGGATCTATTTTGGAACAAGAGGTGTCGCGACTGATACAATTGGTAAGTGAATTAACTTGTATTTGCACTTGATTATCACGCAATGTAATGATATTGGCACGCATTGATATATTTGTTCGAACGCGAATTTTGCAATATTCGTTCGACCGAAAATAGTGAAGCGTCGCCGCGACGCTATTGGCGTGAAGTCGCAAGAGACAAAGCCGCTTCATTATTTTAATGTTTCCTTTTTTTTTTCAAAACGTGATGAATGTAGGCAGGATCGGTTCTAGGACGAGAGGTGTCGCGGTAATGGAAACTTGCATAAAAGGAGGATGAGACCTAGCAACACTCCGATTCTTCTAAGGAGAGCAGAAGGAGGCCTAGGAAAGGCATCTGGCCTCGGCGGAGCAACCTTGGGGTAAATACCATTTCTTACCTACATAATAAGAGTTTTTTCTTTATTTATTTGTACTATTTTATCTTAATAAGTAAAGAATAATTAGAGGAAGAGACATTATCTAAAGATTTACATATTTAAAAATGTACATATTTTGTGAAGATTTTTTTAAGGAGATAGATAATTATGTTAGTAAATATTTAATTGAAAGGCAAATCAAAGCTAAAATTAAATTCAATGTACAAGAATTGTTTTTTAAGACATCGATTATTTTGAGCACTGTTTTAATTTAAATCTTATATTTGTGTGTTACAGTATCATCGTAGCTTCGTGGCTGAATAACTCCGCCCGTTGCGCATCAGGTTGGTAAGTAATAAATTTCTTATAAGAAGGGTAAACGTATATGTGAAACTTATATTAGATATATTTTATTCATGTAATAATATCATAGTAAAATACAACTTTTCACAGATCCGTTGCCCTTATTTCTATCTTAATCTTTTATGGATTATTTATAATTGTATTTAATAGCTTGAATTAATAAATAACATAAAATAAAATGTCGTGAGGTCCAATGAATATTTTATCGGGGAATTGAATAAATTTTTTATGTAACATCATCTCAAATTTGGCCTTTTTGACAGAGAATACCCTATATATATACCTATATATACATATATTCTTTATCGTGGATTGATATACATATGTGTATATAAATACTTATAAATATACATACAACATACGAAAATTTATTAAAGACAAATGAAATTGTGTGTGCAAGAACTTGATAAATTTATATTGATTGCGATATTAATTTCTCGGTGATATCGTTCTTTGGATCTTATGTCATTCTGAACATCTCACTCTTGATATTGTGAGGTGAGATTAAGAAAGGAAATAGTTCGCGATTGTATTTACGATTCGGTTTGTACTAAAAATTGTTATCCTGTTTAATTTTTAAATTTCTATTGTTTTTACATT